GAAGTAAACTATATTTTTCCATTTGTACACCATTGAACACTGCATTTTCACGCCGCGGTTTACTAACCACCTTTCAGGTTACCCCTGTAGTCAACTCGTAAAGAGACCTGAAAACAAACAAACAATGAGTGTAGTATCAGTATTTATGATAACTATCACTGTTCTCGACTATCAGCCAGGTTTCCCAAAGTTTCTAACGATGTCTTATCACAGTGAGCGTAACAGGGTCTACATCACCTAGTCCACTCGTTGAGGTGGTCGCGGGAGATGATCATTAACTGAATGCTCTTGAGTTACTTTTCACTACCATTTGTCCCGAGGAACATCTGCGTCTGCGAAAACTTTCGTAAAATGCACCCAAGCCATCCCGATCTACAGGGGACTAAGTCAGCTAATACCATTACCTACTCTTCATACACGACACGCTCTCGCTGACGTAAAGACAATGTGACGGCGGAATCGGAATGTTTTTTGCACCCCAAAATAGATTATCTGGATAAACTGTTTGATTATGGCGGCAGACCGAGTACTTTAGGTACTGGATCACACAAGGCTTCAATCGCATATATATGGTGCTCAACCTACCACGAGGATGAGATCCCTCTAGAAGAACTGTAACCTTAAATTCTTGCTCACAGACTTGCATAATCGATAGTAACTTGAATTACTCGACCACTAGCTTCAGGTGAATGGGTCGGCTGATTCACTTGCAAATTTGTTCCAGTCAATTTTTTAGTAAAATAGCCAATAGAATATTGCGATTTGCAAGGTTGTTGATTGAGTTTTCATTCATTGCTGTCTGCTGGTAAATTTGTCACTAATTTTAAATTTTTTTGCATTGCGCGGTAACTGTGGTTTAATAGTTTCTCCGATTGGAAACCGACAGCCTGAATCAAATGAATGCCATCGTTCATTTGGATACTGTTTCAGTGACTGTTCTCACAACCTAAGGATGCATCAAATTGCATCTAGCCTACCAAGCGTTTTCAATAACTTGTTTTTTCTAGCTCCACGGAAGGGTTTATTTCCCCCATCTCGGTTTGTAGTTGCCCTACAGTCAGCACATATTAAGTGCGATTTTTTTCCATTCCTGGTACCTCTCTCTTAGGTGACGCAATCTTTCGTTGTGCATCTGACTATTGATTGACTATATGGGATTATTTCACTCAGGAAATAGAATATACACTCGTATGCCTAAACATATATTCACTGAATGCTGGTGGACAGTCATTTATTCGATTCGTTTGTTGGCGCCGGTTCTACAATGAACCCACTGCGTTTTGCGCGGTTCGGTTTTTTCCCTCCTATGGGACTGACCGTACGCGCGTGCATCCATCTGTCCTTGGACGCGTATGTGCGCATCAAGGGGATCACACTCACCGATGGTGGCGGCATGCGAATGCTACTGAGGTGGTCGTCACGAACGGTCCATTCATTCATTCTTGGCAAAGAGCAAGATTGACCCATTCACCCATATCAGGATAACAATGTGGCCATAAATGTTTGTGCTACCCCCTCTATCTCTGTTGTTCATCGCGAAACACTTACTCTCATCTCATGCCTCCTCCAATAAATCTGTGCTTATAACCTTGGTTGCTCAGTTCTGGTTTGTGTTTGTCAATCAAACCTCTTTCTTGCTTCACCACCGAGCGGACCACCACAATCGCATTCCGGTAGAGTTAGCTGTTTCGTGTCCAGCTCTACTCCGATCAGCCTTACAGACGGTCAAATCATTTCGGAAAGTGAGGGTCTCGTTTGGCGTGTATATTTTTCTATTTGAGTGTTTATGCAGTGTAGGACCGTTCGGAAATTTTTCAGTCTCAGTTCGAACTACTAATATTCCTTCGCCCACACTTTTCCGTTTCATTCGCTGTCTGTCTGTCACCTACTTCTCGTCTGATCAACGAAAAAAGTGGAAACCTAGGATAGGTTGTGAGTTAAGAGAGTGTGACGAACTCAAGGATAGGCGACGTAAAACAGATGCTTACGAAGCAGAAACAGCTGTACGAGCGACACATTTAATAACATCATTTCATCATATCACCTCCTATCGGCTGGTGGTGATCAAGTGTTATAGACCGCCCAACTACTTTCTTGCTGGTCTTAAATTCGAACCCCGCCACGGTTGCCCTTCTTGAGCATTTATTGTTCAATTGACCACAGCCTTTATTGTATATCAAATAAATGACAGTTAAGAATGAATAATGTTCGTAACTATTCGGACAGCAAATGAAGTAAAGACACCGTTAGTAGGAGTTTCTAAGTCATTGCTCTTAGTTTCTAAAGTGAACGTACTCGCCTACCAGCCGTCCTGCTTGCATGATGAGTCCACCAATTTTACTCGTTTTTTTAATTAGTCCGCCTCTTTTTTCATACTCCTTACTTTTTTGTTTTGTAAATCAGCCTGATCATTGCTAGGCACATTTGTTTGAAGCATTGCCTGTATGACTGTTGTCTATTTACCACCCAATACAGGACTACACCTATACACTCTGGGTGGTGATGTCTATGCTGAATGCTTATCGGATAGCAGTATTTTCATCCAGTCACGCGAATGCAACGAACGCCACCGTTTTCATCCGACCACTGTGATCAAGATTCCTCCCGGCGGATCGTTACGTGTCTTCTCCAATCGACAATTTGCCCAAATCCTACGGTACACTGTCACACAAGGCGTGGAAGCTACCTATGACCTGATCCGTATGTGCACCATCCGAATGAGCTTTGTCAAAGGTTGGGGTGCTGAGTATCATCGACAAGATGTGACTTCAACCCCGTGCTGGATTGAAGTTCATCTACGTGGTGCACTACTTTGGCTTGATCGTGTTCTCCGCCAAATGGGCCCCTCGCGTAATCCAATCTCCTCGGTCTCCTGATCACTACAACGAATCCCCTACCCCCAAGTCCTATCGTTTTCGCATCTACTATGTGCGTGAATCTCCCCGTTGGATTTACCCCCAATAAATCTGTCCCCGTGTTGCCCATTGTCCCGTTCCGAACGACTTGGGCTGGCTGCACGCGCCGTCAACATCATCCCCATCCCCAGTCACGTGATCTTGCTTTATGGCGCCAATCCGACGAGCTGCGTGCCGTTTATTTCGCCTCATTTTCACATACACAGAGCGTCATTTTTGCACTATTCATTTTGTACATGACCAATCACATACCTAAACACCCACACTCATTCGAACACACACTCATCTCGGTATCTCTGCATATATACACACGTATGCTCTCTCTCTCTCTCTTTGAATCCGACCGGCTTTCCTACTGTTATGTGATTTTATTCACCCGAGTTCTCTTTATCAGCTTTGTGTTTGTTCTTTTCTTCGGTCTCCGTTCCGCTTCGCTGTGAACGTTGGTCTTGTGATTTGTTTTTCTTTTTCTCTCTCTTCCAAACCCCATCCTTTGTCGGTCCGTCCCTGTATGTGGTTGCGCCATTTTGCATCTCTCTCGATTGTCAAAGTTATACACTGAATTGTTCAGCTTCATTGGAGTAAACATATTTCAAATGTGCACCGGTTTATCCTCTCGCACTACCTCTGTGCTCTGCTGTCGGGCCCTAGACACAGACAAGGTATGGCAGTTTGTCTAACGGTTATCTCATGTATCTACTCTTTGTTACCTGTCTAGACGCGGAGGTTGGGGAGGGGGAAGGTGGAGACAGATAGCAGGTATCACATTGAATTTTCCCATGCTGACCTCATGTGAATTTATAGATCACATTTGTCAAGCTTCGTTGTTAAATCAATGCATGCTCTCAGTTTGTTTCACCGGATTTCACGATTGATAGTCGTACAGTTTTACTCATCCACTGGCAGAACAGAGGGGCTTCGGAGTTGGAGTCAAATATCACAGTGATTTGCAGCCACTGAACCGTTTCCGATGCGCACACTTGAATAGCCACGTAAGCAACCTCGGGCACATGGGTTTCCTTCGAAAGGTTGAACCAGTATTGTGACTGCGAGTGATGTTCCGTTTATTTCGTGATTCGTACATTATCATGTCGACACCCCGGGGTTCCGGAGTCGAAGACAAAAAACAGACGAGGTGCTGATATCGAATTATTGCAAGAATAGAATATTTATATTTATTTCAACATTGCATAGTTATCTTTAAATTTTGGTGACACGGCCTGACTCGGTTATGTTGAATCGTAAATCTTTAACGGATTGCATCCGTTCATCTCTGGCTTCTATATTCATCTTGTGGTAGGTTGTGAATTGACAACTGCAAAAATACTTCAAACTACACCCCAATAAAGTTTTTTCTGTTACACAAAATGTGAATTACAGTAAAGAGGAAATCCCCATAGTCAAAGTGCATAATGTAAAACGGAGAGTAAGGAAGCGTTCGCATAAGATCCAGTTAATCGATTCTGCGGTTTAAGAGTCAGTTTTATTATGGGTATTACTTACAAGCAGATGCTTTCCTTGTCCCATAGGGTGTTTACACGAGTTGAATTGTAACAACGATGAACAAAATTCCATATGATGTATTCGGTTGTGTCATGTGTGCTCGTGGATGTTGGAATGCAATGTGTTAATGATCCGTCAAGTTTTACCTTGAAAGAATCAATCATCTTGGCAAAAACGACAGATGGTAAGGAATTCCAGGCAGTACATACTCTGACGTCGAAGGAATGGCGTCGAGATTTTTGGAGTAGTAACTAATGGATGTCCCCGCAAATGAACGTTTGATGACAACGTCAAAATTCGGTGACAAGGGTGGTTTGGATTGTGCATTATTTGGTACACTAAAATTAAGTCTCCTCGAATCCGACGCTAGTGAGCAGAGTATAGACCCAATGACTGAAGTCTTCCCATGTATGAACCATAATAGAGTCCTTTGACCATCTTCGTGGTGAGCCTTTGTGGACGCTCCAAAATCTTATGATTACGTAACCATGGATTCCAAGTTTGGATGGCATACTCAATATGCGGCCGATGATGCTGACAGCAGACGTGAGAATAAAGATGGTTCAAAACGACCGAAAACACGTTTAGATAGACCGATATGTTTGAGTGCTGTTGATGACGCCCTGGCACAGTTACAAGAACAGCCCATATATTCGTGGAGTCTCACACCCAAGTCCTTTTCTGTTGATGCATGAGGCAGTAATTCGTTTCCGAGGAAATAAGGAAACCGTCCATGGTGGGGTAACGGAATCACCTTGCATTTGGAGACGTTAAATTGTATGTCGTTCTCAATAAACCATTTGTGAGCTGCATTCAGTACTTTTTGGAGTTCCAGCGAACCCCCACTGTCTTCCAGATTTTGACGTCGTCTGCAGACAATAATGTTTGTGGTCCGAGGACATTCGGTGGGTCCTTTATGAACAAGATTAAAGGTCGCGGATCAAGCACAGAACACTGGGGGGACTCCGCGAAAAACGGTGACAGTGAGTTAGAGACTCGAACCAACATGGTCCGTTGTTCGAAAAACGCAGCAATCCAATCAAGCGCGAGGTCTCTGATACCAAAATTGTACAGTTTACGGAGCAGTATTTCGTGGTTCATCCGATCGAACACTTTGGAAAAGCCCAGTTAAACCACATCAACTCCATCGGCTCACCCATTCAAGACGCTGCGGAATCGATCGGCATTCGTTTATTTAAACCCAATCTATGCGCACAGAAGAAATTGTTTCCTGTTATTCAACTACCGTGGCCAAAGATCGATCGCAAGGATGAAGCATCACAGTTTGATTGCAGTGCTGTGGTGATCTAGGGGTGTGAAACATCGCACCACCCCCACCCCCATTCCTCTCCCTTTCAATCAATCACCGTGACTTTTGAATGACTGAATGACTATCCCCGTTCAAAATGTCATTTTTCTATTTGCTCTGTACAGGCCAGAAGATGAATCAATGAAAAGAATTCTTC